GTGTGGGTGCGGCGCCCCCAGCCCACCCGGCCCCTGCGCAGGGGGAGCCCAGGTGGGTTACCTTGGGGACACTGAGACAGGGCGGTGGTGATGCCGTACAGCCGGGTCTGCTTGTGGGGGTGGAAGGTGTCCGTCTCTTTGGCAACAGCGACATCAACGGCAGCCACGGAATTCCTACAAGAACCCAGAGGCGGAAGGTAACACGCAGCTGACGGCTCCCACTGTTCTCGACAGAGCAGCCTCTTCCGTGGTTTGGGGGAGACGCTGGAGGCTGTGCATTGTACGCTGCTACCCTGGCCTTGCGCCCCAGCCAGCCCTTCCTCCGCGGGGGTGGTCAAGCCTGCATTTCCCTTTTTTTTTCTTATATATAAATATATGCTTTTATTGATTTCAGAGGGGGATGAAGGGAGGGAGGGAGAAATATCAATGACGAGGGAGAATCATCGATCCGCTGCCTCCTGTATGCCCCACACTCAGGCATGTGCCCTGATCAGAATAGAATCGTGACTTCCTGGTTCATAGGTCAATACTCAACCACTGGCTGGGCTTCTTAAAAAAGGACAGAGCCCTAGCCGGTTTGGCTCAGTGGATAGAGCATTGGCCTGCAGACTGAAGGGTCCCGGGTTCGGTTCCGGTCAAGGGTATATGCCGGGGTCATGGCTCGATCCCCAGGAGGGCGTGCAGGAGGCAGCCGATCGATGATTCTCTCTCATCATTGATGTTTCTATCTCTTTAGCTGTCTCCCTTCCTCTCTGAAATCAATAAAACTATATGAAAAATAAAGGACAGGATCGGCTGGGGTTCCCCTCTGGCACCACACTCTAAGCTGGGAAATCTGCTTTCTATGCTCACAGCCCAGCCACACCATTTGCTCGGTTTAACCTCCTCTTTGCCGGGAGGGGTGGCCGAGGGCCTGTGGCACAGGCAGCTTGAGAACAATGAGGAAGTGGGGCACGGAGTGGGCACGGAGCCCACCAGCCGAGGGCCCCCCGGCCAGCTCCGGGGAAAGAGCAGGGGTGCTCAGGGCTCAGCAAGCCCCAGGGAACAGCCTGGAGGCCGCCGCCCACCCTGCTGCGCCCATGGCATCCATGGCGCCGGCTCTCCCAGGAGCCTCGCCCTCCCCTGGCCACC